AGAGCGGCAGACGGGCCAATAAAAACCTGGGAATCCAGAAAGCGGGAAGAGAGCCATGTGCTGCGGTGAGTTGCTTGGTCCCTTGAGAACGTGCAAAGGTGCAGAGGGAGAGCAAACAAATTTCACCCAGCTGCTCTGGAAGAAAGCAGACCACTAGAGCAGTGTGTTTCCATCCATGGCTAATTCCGCAGCATACTAAAAAAGCTATATTTTTTTTTTTTTTTTTTTTTTTTTTTTTTTTAAATAAAACAGTTTTTGGAACGGGAAGCAAAGTGCTAAATGCAGAGGGAAATGCATTATTAATAGAGCTGTTCAAAGTTTGGCTGGTACAGCTAGGAAAAAAAACGACTGCTGCCACCTTCTTCACCCCGCCCTCCCTCACCACCTGATTAATGACTTTTTAAGGCAGGTGCACAACAACACTTAACAGCCTGTGAGGCTCTTCTGGGTAATGGTAATGCAAAGCTGCAGATCGAGCCTGCTGTGCTTTTTATTTCAGATTCCTCTTTGTGCATACTTATGTACATATGTACACACACACCCATACATTCACACACAGAATAATAAGGTTAAAAATTTAAGGCATAATCCTTGCAATCAGGGATTCAAGGCTTGCAAAGGATGTGCAGGACATGCCACCCTCTATCCCCAAACCACTACTCTTTCTCTTCTCCCCTCAGTCATTTAAACTGAAAAACATGTCAGAATTGGGCCAAGGCAGGTTGTTTTCCTACCTAAAAAATGCCTCAGCTTTTGTGGCCTTGTTGTTTTCCTCAACTATTTCAACAAGAATACAGTAGCAGTTAATTTAACAAGTTCGTTAAATATGAAACAGTAATTAAGGTTTGTAGAATATTTCATCCTTTGAATCTTAGCAACCAGTTCCTTAAAATGATGCTATGAGACAGAGAAATGGTGACTACTACCCTCAGTTTAATAAGAAATATGATAACTTGGCCTTCCTTTTCCTCTCTTTCATGCAAAATGATGCCACACAGGAGAGTCTGCATGAACGTAGGTGGGTCCGTGTTATGCAGCCCTCCTCACACACACTGCTCTTAGAAGTTAAACAAACAAAAGAAAAATCAGTTCAAATGGAATGTTAGTTAGTTTAGCTGCTCTTCTACAATATGTCATGAAAATATGTTTTGTAGGCTGTACAAATGGGTGCCACAGGCTGGATGGGTATGTCAAACAGAGCACACAAACAGTGGCGAGGGTCCTGGCCATACTTTATGTTGAATCTGTGGTTCCTGAGGGGAAAAGGCCTTTTTTTTTTTTTCCCATATAAGCCAAGAAATGGTAAGTAAATCATTGCACAACTCTAGTGGTGACAAATACATATTACAAATTTTAGTTAAGTACTTACAGACTGGTATGCCATAAATCAGCCTAATCCTACTGTTGGGCACAATTCTTAGGCTTGTTTCCAATCGCTCTAGGCATGCAGCAGAGAGGAACTGGGCTGTGTTATGCCGGCAGTGTCCAGCAGCCACTGAATGGCTACTGGAACCTACTCCCAATCTCTGCACCTGCTGCCAGGAGCGAGAGCCGACCTCTCTACTTCAGATTTATCCACTAAGAAAATATGGAGGACAGAAGCAGCTAATTGCTCTTGAGCTGCACAAAGCAAGATGAGAACATGATTGTATTTGTTTCTCATTAAACACAATATAGCTATTCATAACAGCTGCTCTATCACATTGTTCTAATGTGCAATTATTAAAACATTTGATACAAATGAAACCATTTTTTGCTCCCTATTATTTATTGTGTTTTGTAGCTTTTTACCTAGAGGACAAATAGAAACAACAAAAGATAACCTGAGTAGCAAAACACACACAGAAAACTGCTCAGCTAATTCACAAAACAGTATGAACACCTGTGAAAAAAAATGTGAACAAGTTTGATTTACCCTGTGTTGGGCATACACAGACAGCACACTTTCTTTTCTAAACAGACTGTACAATAAGACCTCATTTTTGTCTTACTCTGAAAGAAGGAGCAAATACAAACTCAAGTTCTCAGCAGGGAGAGAGAAAGGGAGGACGAAAATGCCTGGACAAGAAATCAAAGCAAAATAGTACTTACTGATGAATAGCTTGCAGGAATTTGCGTTGATGCTTCCTTACTTTTGCATGGTCTATCTTTTTAACAAGCTTTGTGTTTTTATAAATTAACCATGTTTCCCTGAGTACATTGGCTGCTGCATTTTTCACCTGTTTAATAAAAGAAAAATATCAGGATGACAAAAATAGCATTACGTCTTCTTTCTAATCCATTCTACTGCAACTCTTGCTAAAGTACCTTAATACTCTGCCTGTGGGAAAATGGGTATATGAGGAAGCTGCAGCAATGAGGCCAAAAAACATGGTCTGACCTGGGAGACTGATGAGTAATTTCTCTGCTGCTTCTAAGAGTGATACTGGGCTTTATTAAAAGTGATACCAGCTTTATTTGCACCTGGGAATTACTTGCCCCTCTTGAAAGGAGTTAGGATCATGTGGTGTTTACAGCAATATAAGTTACAGTGAAGGAATATTAATGCATTATCTGTATGGTAATTGGCTAGAGGTATTTTCTGTGACCATAAAGTTCCTCTCTTCTTGTTGCATGATTATTACTCCTATTACATCCTATTTCTTTTAGCAATTTGACAGTCTTAACTTTCCAGAGCTGTTTAGACAGATTTTATTTTTCTGCATGTGTTTCATTATTCTGTTTTTTTTTTCTTTCCATTCACACAGGAGATGAAAAATACCTTCTTAATTAATGTATCTAATGTTCTATTTCATGAGTTCTTTGATTATTTTTAGTAGGTCTATAAAAAGTTAAAAGTACCCACAGTTCCTTCTTAGGTCCTCCAATATTCTAAGGAGTAGTTGAAAACAATGGACAATTTAAATGTACTGTTGATTAATGACACAGTTACTAGGTTACTTATAAAGGCAAAAGTCCTTACTATTCATCTCTATTTTCTCTCCCTCTGGCTTTCTATCATGCCTGCCCCTACAGCATCAGAGCTCTGCAGATGGATCAGTTTGGGCCCTGTGGGAATGCTGGGCAGTTGCTCCCGCTGGGCAGGAGCTCCCTCCTTGCACCTGTAAAAGCCCTGGAGAACTTTGGCCCTGACTTCAGTGGAAGCTGCCTCAGGCTGCGAGGAAACCTCCGCAGTATCTGTGGAATTGACTTGTACTGGGCATCTCCAAATTAAACGGCTGGTTTGCTTTTCATTTGCTTTGTACTGAAGCTACAAAGGGACTGCTTGGATGCTCTACTGAACTGATATTTACCTTTATACATGAAGGATAGCTGAATGGAGTACACTTTAAAAGACATAATGAGCACCAGACTCTCAAAATCTGGCCCGTCTTCACAAAACCTTTTTTTCCACCTGCAAGTAATCTTCAGCTCAGCTGTCAGGTCACATTTGGGAAGTTTTCTTGTCAGCTCCTTGAATGGCAACTTCTTATCTCATTATGGACAAGCAAGAAAGCAGTTTGCTGCACTTGAAATGTGCCACTAAATCACCACCTGTGAGTGAGATTATTTTAGATACCTGTTTCTCTATACTCTTTACATATTAGTTTCCTGTGGTGTGATTAATTTGGCCAAATGCCTAAATTTACAGTAGATGTCTACTCTTAATCACATGAACTGACTCGGATAAGATTCACCTCATTTTCGGCACCACTACTATGTATTTCCAAGAGACTACATCTCTGTTAGGAAGGGACAAACTGCTGTCCAAGACCTAGTAACAGCAGGACCTTAACTGATTATAATGAGGGCTAAGCAGCAGCTCAAATAGACCCTTAAAGGCAGTTTACACAAATCCCACCCTTTATGCCTTCCTGCTCCCCTTAGGGTGTCTCCACTCTGTCTGCTTAGGGCAGATGCATGCTTTTCCCAGGAGGGAGGCACAACTCAGAGACGTGGAGGCTGGCAAGGCTGTGAGGTGCCCAAGAGGAGCATGTGCCCCAGCGCAGCCGTTTCCTGGGTGTTTGAGCAGAGGAGTTGGGGCAGCGCCACGCGGCACCGCGGGGAGTTCTGCTGACGCAGCTGACCTCCCGCACCCGCGGCAGAGCCCTCTTTCTGCCCCAGGGCTCTCCACCATCAGTAAGGACAAGATGCCAGTGAGGTCCCGTCATGAGTGTGAAGACTTTCCTCCCAGTACTGTTTCTCCCTCAATTACTAAGATTAATCAAGTCATCCCACTCATTCTCATGTTTCCTCAACACTGACCTGTTTCTCGAGGATACAGGATGTCTACTGCTCCTTCGCTGTGTTCTTTCATTTTCTTTCAGATCATATTTGTGAACAAGAATTTAGGTTATATCTTTTAAGGAAAAGTTTAAAACAATTTTTATAAATTTTAAAGATTTCTAAAGTTTTTGTTCTTATTAATATCTCTTTCAAATATTTTTATCATCTACAAAACATCTTTCAGGGTGCTGCATTACTGTGTGAAGCTGTGTAAACCATTTGTTCAGTACACAAAGCAATTGCTAAGACTACCTCACTCACAAGCTATAAATACTTGAAATTGGTTATTTCGTGTAAGAAGGCATATCTTTTTTCTAGAGTACAGCCCTTCGTAGCTTGAAATTCTCAAATATATCAGTCATTTCATCTATTTTAGCCTCATGAGTTCTATGTATTCTTGTATTCTTTTGACTGTATGAGAGTTTATCCGTTTAATATACTGGTATCTAGTTTCATAGATTTAACTGTTGGTTACATGCTTTGTCTTCCAGCAGCAAAAATCCTCTATAAAAGAATAAGCAGACCTTCAAAACCTGTGGGGAACCTGCTGCTGCCCTTGACTTCAGAGAGCCCAGGGCATTCACTTCCTGCATATGGTACCTTGAAAAAATCACATGTATGAACATGTTCAATAAGAGAATGGAGCACAAGATCACTTAAAACAAATGCAGAAATAGATTTAACGAACATTTCCTTTCCAGTCATAAATACAAAGCATGACTTACTCTTTTAGTTAGCTGGGTGTCCATCATGAAATTATGCACATGTTTTTCAGCTTTGGTAAGTTCTAACTTCCTTGCAACCACAGCTACCACCAGTGCAGTGCACCCAGCACCCTGAAAACAATAAAACAAACCCTCAAGATGTTACTACTGCATTTTGCAGAGCTTTTAATGGATCTTTTTCCTTTGCTGTAGAAATAAGGCAGACTTCAGTTGATTCATCATCTCTGGTAAAGCAAGTGCACATGATACAACTTTTTCAGTTCAGAGTAATAGGAAGAGTCAGCAATTTAGGCTAGTCAGCTGTCAAGGCATCAGAATTATTAATAAGCAGCATCATTTAAAAGTTCTGTTTTTTTTTTTCTGCATAGGTTGAAAATTCAAACACATCCCATTTCTACCGCATAAACAAAGGAGGCAATCAGAACAATTTTAAAATTCAGAATTTCAGTAAGTAAATAAAGGCAGAATATCCTGTTCTTAACAACTGACTACTCTGTATAGCAATTGCTAAGGAAGAAATTAGATTAGATTAGTACTTAGCACGCACATTCTTAGGATTTTCTTTAAGGTCTAAAGATAATCTTGTCATAAATTCAGTATTTATATGCACCACCATGCATGGTCATAATAGGCTAAAGCCAGCAGATGCCAGTTCCTATGAAACGACTGTACCTTCATCAGGAAACTAAAACGAGTATGGTAACTACAAACAGTGTACTACAAGCAGCTCCTGGTACCATTTATTCTGACACTGCTCCTGAATTCTACTTTTTGTTGTTGTTGTTGTTAAACCATCCTTCACAGATGATTTAAAAAATTACATATAAAACCAAATGAAATATAGGACAGCTGTGTTTAACTTCCAGATTCGCCTAAATCTAGCTGTTTAGTGCATTGGTATCAGTTGCTGTTCTAGAGGAAAAAACATTTCTGCTTGAAGTTTACTACATTTTAAGTCACACAGCTTTCTTCCACCCTTTCTAGATTTCTCTCATAAATTTACTTACTCTCACCCTGTTCCTCCTCTATACCTGCTTTACAATCTCCAGAAAATATAGAACATTGTTGAACCTATCTTGGAGGTGCAAATTCCACTACTGAACACACACAGATGCCAAAACAAACCAGCTAATTTTAAGTCTTTATTCGGATAGTGCTCTCAAAAAATGCAGCACTTGCCCTCTTCATTCCTAATGAACCTAAAGGAATTTGTGAAAGCCTCCAGTTAATTAGTCTCCAATTTCATTCTGCTGGTAGTTTGTGTCAATAAATTCACCTGCTCCCTCACATGGACCTGTCGTCTTCCATTAGTTCTGATCTGTCAGAGTTTATCCTCCAATAGCCCTCAGGAAGTTCTCAAATAAGTCCTTATAATTTTGCTGTAGTTGCCCATGTAGGTAAGGTAGTTAGCAGCTCACTCTGTAATCGTGAGATGAGGGCAAAAAGGAGATACAATAGGTTCTTTGTTTCCCCATATCTCCCTAAATGTTAATGAAGAAAATAGCTAATGCAGCTGCGGTTTGTATGGCCTGTGAGCTTCCATATCTCCAAATTACAATTTATTTTCCACTCAGATTACTCTTGCTCTCGGCATTATGGGATATGACATGATCTCAGGATACAAAAACAGGCTCTTTTAACATTTCTGTGAAAAACAGCAGTAAAACTCTGGCTGCTTGTCTATCTTTCTGCAATACCTTGAAGAGGAGCAAATTATTCATTAAAAAACTAACAGCTCACAGAATAACACATTGAAATACTCCTTAATGTACTTGATTCTAATTAATATTTTATGTTACTGCTCTGCACTTTTACTTGTTTTCTCCCGAAGAGCTCAGCATCCTTAAAAATAATAAGGTGAGAATTATCCTGAATTGCAGCCATGAAACACGAGCAGTACAGTTATTTTAAAAATGGTAACATCATACTCACTACATTTTGGCACATCCCTGTTCACATTAAAAGAAGCATGAATTCAATGAGTTCGTGTTCACACAGGCAAGTATTTTCTTTACCAACACTAAAAAAAGCAGAACCCTTTGGCTTCCTATTAAAAGAACTTGGGCGAAGTAAAAGCCCATGCTTCAACTCCAAGAAAGTCTTTTTTTTTTTGAGAATAAGGTCTTCTTTTAAATTACTGTATCTTATAATATCCAATCTAATAGTATTTATCTTGTGTTCAATTAAATAACAAACAAAATCACTGATTGAAGTTCCTGCTCAACTTTGAGGGGAATTATATGTCATTAAGAGCAAAGGGAAAATGGAAGGACAAATTTTCAAGTATTGAGGCTGGTATTAACACTTGGAATCTGTACTTTTCAGTCAAGCCTCTGTCACTTCTATTATAGTATTATTTAAAATTGTGTATTTTATGTTGGTAAAGAACATGTCTTTGAGGGCGCTTGGGACTTCCAGTATATCAAAGCTGGAGAGAAAAAAAAAAAAGGTTATGCGTAATGTTCATCATTAGGCCTCTGAAACATTAGCTACAACTATACAGGTGAAAGTCATGCAAGCTCTCCACCCCATTGAACTGTCTATTCAAGGGTCAGCAAAAGTAAAAGGCCAAGGTAGGTTGCAGATTTACAAGAAGGAAAAAGCAGCAGTTTGTCCTCATTAGTAAATGTGTTCACAGATGCATACATCAGAATAGATGAGCCAAAATAACCCCTTTCCCTCCCAAAAAATCATTCACTTAGAGTCACTGTTCAGATTTTGAATGATCTGAGGCAAAATTGAAAGAGAGATGATTCATCTTTTGCAATTTTTCTAAAGTGCAAATTTCTCATTTTTCCAGTGCAGAAAAGCTTTCTCACAAAGCATTAACCATTTACAAACTGTGCTACTTCAGACACACCTGAATATTAAAAACCTGGACACAAGCTATTGTAACACACAGCATCCAACACACAGCACGTAAGCATCCTACGCAAGCCAAAGTCACAGTTTGCCCATACTGCCCGACTGCTCTGATTAAAGCTAGAAGCTAGTAAAAGAATTAACCATCCAGCCTCTGCTCCCCTTTAAGTATTGTATGGTCAAGGATTTGTCAGCAACTACCAAGTGCAAAAGCTGATCTGGATTCCTCTGCTCTCCAGAAAGCTATGCACAGGCCAAGCAGAACTACCTACTAAAACAGGAAAAGCCCCAACAGAGCAGGCTGTTGAAAACAGGCCTCTCAGAAATGCTCCAGACCAACATGCCATCTGTAAGCTAAGCAGTGCCTAGCTTTGATTTGCAATGTGCTGAAACTGAAGTATGTAAACCTAAATGCCCATGCGTTGTATTTGATGCAATGTGTTTGTTGCTTCATATTAAGTGGCTTGCATCAGACCTAGGTAAAAAGTCTGAAAACAAACATATGACATCGCCTTTCATTCAGGAAGACCAACAAATACAAAATTGGATTTTACTGCACAGTGGCATCAAATCTCTGATGATATGATACAAAGCTTGCATTCGTGAGCATCTGTCCTTGAAGCAAAAGGTCTACAGCCATTTATACTCTACGGAGTGTTCCTTGACCATTGATCCACTTAGCTGCTAGCCTATATGAAAACATTTTGATATGCCTCCAAACAACTTAAGAACAATCTTCAAAGCTCCAGTCTTAAAAATTCTGCTCCTATAGCTAACAAGAAATGATGACTTAGGTTCAAGTGCTCATTCAAGTAAGCCATAGCCTGCGAAAACTATCGGTAGGTGAGCAACCATCGAAAGCAGATGACACAAATACATAGAAAACAAAATTTTGTGGGAGTTTGATTATCACAAATTCTTTTAGGTATTGTTAAACATTTTTTTCAGGTACGCAAGTCTGTATAATGACTGATGTTTCTTAGAAAAATAAACACAGGCAAGTTGAGGAGAGAAAAAAACAGAATTTGGCAATAGGTGTAGGCTTTCTGATACCACACCTACATTATTTCAAAGCAGCAAGGAAAGAAAGATGAAATTAACTGCATTTTAAGTTATACTTTGAATTTAGGAACTGAAAAAAATGCTAAAATGAACATCCCATCCCAAATTTTAAAACTATTACTTAGTGTTACTATTCACTTTGCTCCATAAACTCCATCTTTTCCTATCTGTCCACACAGCTAAAACACTTAATCTTGCATTTATTCCTGAATAGTTACAAACATCCTTTCATCTGCTTAGACAAAACAACTTACATCCTTCATATTATAGAATCACACAGAATCACAGAGTGGCTGAGGTTGGAAGAGACCTCTAGAGATCATCTAGTCCAACCCACCCTGCTCCAGCAGGGACACCCAGAGCACGTGGCACAGGGTGGTGTCCAGGCGGGTTTTGAAGATCTCCAGAGAAGGAGACTCCACAGCCTCTCTGGGCAGCCTGTTCCAGGGCTCTGTCAGCCTCTCAGAAAAGAAGTTCTTCTTCACCGGGAGGTGGAACCTCCTGTGTTTCAACTTGTACCCATTAGCCCTTGTCCTGTCACTGGCCACCACAGAGAACATTTTGGCCCCATCCTCCCTACAATCACCCCTCAGGTATTTGTGTTCATAAACTCCCCTCTCAATCTTTTCTGCAGGCTAAACAGGCCCAGCTCACTTAGTCTTTCTTCATACGATAGATGCTCCAGGCCCTTAATCATCTTCATGGTCCTACGGTGAACCCTCTCCAAAAGTTCCCCATCCCTCTTGTACTGATATCCCCAATACTCCAGGTGCGGCCTCACCAGAGCTGCACAGAGGGGCAGGATCGCCTCCCTTGATCTGATATCCATAATCTTTGATATCCATAATCAAGGGGTTACTGCAACAGTTAATTTCTTTGCTTGTCATTTTTTACTATTTTACTTTGCCTTGTGTCCCTCTACTTCCTTCACTTCCTTCTCTGTGGCATCAAATATAGAACATTTGCCCTCATTTTGGTTATTTTATGCCCTTGGGTTCTTCCATTCCACTAGTAGGGATGCAGCAGTTCCCTGGCTCTAGTAAACTCATGATGCCAGCATTCATTTCCCACTTTTAAAACTTTCATACAAAGCTCTTCACAGTATCTCTTGACTTAGAAAACACATAAAAAATATAATTCATTGTTTTCTTTCAAATCTCCCCCTTTTTAGTATACTAGTTACTTAC